AATTAATTATAATATAGTTAAATTTTAAAACAGTTTTTAGCAAAATCAAACTCATATTAAAAATAAATATTGACTTTTTGGTTAATTATGTTATTTATATAAAAAAAATTAATTAAAGGTCCTATTTTAATTTCAAATATTATTTAGTCAAAATTTTTATTAACTCATAAATTGTAAATAAAAACAATAATTGACATAATTACAATTTAAATTGTTTTAACGTCTTTGATCTTTGTGCGGTATTCTAAATGTTTTTGCTAATTTTTATTTTATTTTAGTAAATTTTTTTACCAAATTTTATATTTTACTTGTTTTGTAATAAATATTAAAGTAATTTTTTTTTTTTCATTTTCTATTTATTTTATTTTCGTACGAATTTTGAGACATTTGCACATAGTTTGCTGTTCTTTGACTAACACATTTATATTTTTTTTTTTTAAATATTTTACGAATAAAAGATTTCTCATGGCTTCTTTGAATTATTTTCTAAAATTATTTACTAGATTTATATTTAAAAAAATATTGTTTTAAAATTGAAATAAAAAAGATACTTAACCTTTTTTTACAAAATAAATATTTTTGTTTTTGTATTACGTCTTTTGTGATTCTATATTTATTTTATTGTACTTTTAAATTTTTTTGATTTTACTATTTATTAAAAAGAAAACTCATATTCATTTTAAGAAAATGAATTATGAATAAATTTCGAATTTTCTAAATTATGTATTTTACTTTCCAAATTTTTAGTTAATTAACAAAAAGAAAAAGAAAACTTAAAGTTTTTTAATATTAAACATTAGCTCTCCTTAAATTACAATAAATTTAGTATAATGGTTTTATGTTTGATTTTATATTGTCTATGTATTTTGTATTTTTAATTTAGTTTATAGTTATATTTAGTAAATGATACTTATTATTGATAATTTCAAATAAATTATGTATATTTTTTTTTTTAATTTTCAATAAAATTTATTGATTTTTGTTTGTGGGAAATAATACTTAAAAATAAATTGTCAATATGTAATTTGTAGTTACTTAATTTTTTTTATATATATACATTTTTTTTATATTATTGCTATTAGATAAATACTCATGTAATTAAATAATAAATATTTAATACAAATTTTTTGTAGTACAATTTAAATTAGTATACAATTTATTATAATATAGAAATATTCTATTATATTAAGATAAAATAGAAAAAAAACTGTAGAAATTTTTAATATTTATTAATTTTCATAATAACTAAATTATTTTTTAATTATCAACTTATGAATATACAATTTTACTGAAGTAAATCATTTTAAATCAATTTCTAAAATAAAAAAAAAAACTTTGCAAAATTTTATATAAATTATTCAAAAAGGTTTAAAATTCTTACAAGAAAAAGTTTGAATTCTTAATTAAATTTTTTTAGAAACTTTCAAATTTTTTTTCTATACTTATGTGAAAATTATGATTTTTGCACATATACTTATGTGAAAAATTTAAGCAGGAATAGTAATAATAAATTATTTTAAATATAAACATACCTAATTGATTTAATTGCAATTGAACATTTAGTAATATGCGAATTAATCTATGTTTTATAACCTAATTTATCAGCAATCCTGATAAAACCCTATAGTCCTGATAGGGGAAAAAATTCAATTTCTATTTTAACATTTATTCAATTTCGAGGAAAATAAAGCAAAAAAAAATTTAATAAAAAACAGGACCTGAAGGAGATATTTAAAACAAAAATACTCCAAAAAAGTAAAGCAAAAAATGAAATTAAAATGCTAAACACTTATAATATTTTTGAATTTTCGCGTTTAATATACTAAGAAAACCTTGAAAGAAAATATTTTTTTACTATAATACATAATATGTATAATGTTTTTATTAAAATTTAATATTGGTATTAGATGAATTCTGAAAATAATAATAAACTAGAAATTATTATAAATATTTTGCAAAGTTTAAAATTTTTCAATTAAAATAATAATATTTAATTATTTTAATGGTACCTTATTTCTGTAATATCAAAATATCTAAATAACTAAATGATGAATATTTAGTATATTTAAAAATATGCTTCAGTAATAAATTGAGATTACTTAAAATATATTCAACAATATTACTGAAATTGAAAAAATTCATATTATTGAAATATTCTCCCATTTCAATTTAAATTATCTAATTAATTTTGAAAAACAAAATAAAGAAACAGTTTTAGTTTAATTTATCGAAATTTAGTGTATTCCAATTTTAAAAATCTATTATTAATTCTCGTTATTTAAAATTAATATTTATGATAAACCTGTAAAATAATTAGAATATATTTCCATTTCAGTAATAGTGTTTGTCTATAAAACATCTTCAAACTTAGGGCAATCAATGACTATAAATATTATAAAAACCTAATGTGCATTTATTGTAAAATGAAAAAAAAAAAGTGAAACAAAATAATAAAATCCGTAAATCTGAATCTCATTTAGGCAGTAAAGAAAGATAAAAAGACTTTTATATATTTTTTTTTTTTGTGTTTTATAACTCTTAAGAATTTTCATGCTGCCAAGATATTCACTGCCAGTTTCTAGAATTACGGTAGTGTAAGTTTTTTTTATTAATTATATTTTAATTTTTTTTTTATATATATATATTTTTTTTAATACTTAATATCATAAGGAAAATATAAAATGTAAAAATTTTGTAATTTGCTGCCTGTGCCTTTCTGTGCAATTTAGTTAATTATCCATATTTGAAATGAAATAAAAATTCAAATAAATAATTATTTAAGACTTTAAGTTAAATATAATAGTAATAATAATGTTTGTCTTATTATATAAAAATATAGATATATAATATATGTATATATGTATATGGATATGAAAATATTTATAAGCTATATGATTATATATTAATAAATAAGATAATTAGATTAAAAAATAAAAAAAAGAAAATAACAACAAAATGCAAGAGGACTTCCACATTGTAATTTTATAAATTAAAAAAAAATTCTAATAATTATTTTTTTTTAAGATGTAATATATTTATTTGCATATAAATTTGGATATTTTTAATTTGCTCTTAAATAAAATTTGTTAATTATAGTAAAATAAAACACTTTTTTTAATGAAATAGTTTTTCATATAAATTTAATTGGTAGCCCTTTATTATAACCGTACGAACATATGTTCGAAGGGTGTACTAAATTTTCGTTTGTAACGCTAAGAAATAATGCTCGAAGATATGGACTCAAGTGTATGTTTTTGATCAGCGTCGAATTCTGAGTTGATTTAGCTTTGTCTGTCCGTCCGTCCGTCTGTCCCAACAATAACTCAAAAACTAATTGAGCTAAGTTTACCAAATTTTCACAAATGATTTATTGTAGTAAGTGCCAGAAATTATTTATTACAGTTCTGGTATCTGCCATACAACTTCAAAAGTTATTTCACTATATCTCAGAAACTATAAAAGCTATAGTATTGAAATTTCACACAAACGAATATATTAGTAAGGCCCATGTGTTTGATAAAATTCGTTAAAATTTCTTGACTCTTTCCGGTATCTGCAATACAACTTCAATAGTAGTTTGGCACACACAGTATTTTGAAAAACACTGTACTAAAATTTTGTATAAGTTAATATGGTAATACGGCAATTTAAAGTCATAGAATAGTTAGTTATGGCATAACTGTCCCATAGTCAGTTATGGCATATTTAGTCGCACATAAGACAATTAATACGGGTATCACAGAGCGGTCAAGGTCAACTATATTTTTCTCGTTTAAATCAAATTTATCTTGTCTTGAAAAACATATTGCAAACTAAGGAACTTTTTATGGCATGGGTCATATAGATTTTAGAAATTTTATTTTTTAAATATGTTTATTGGTTTATAAAGAAAAAATTGTTATTAAAATATACATAAATCGACTTTTATCCTTTTTTTTAAAGAGGAATATTTGAATAAGTTTACAAAATTCTTTTGTGGATTAATAATTCTTTTTTAGATGTTTAGAATATCTGAGAAGGAATAAAGATATAGGGTCTTCAGCAACTACGAGATATAGATCTGCTTTTCGGTTTTGATCGGAAATTTCAAGTCGTTATTCAATTAATTTTAAAAATAAATTATTGCAATACCTAAAATTATTTTTAATATTATTTTTATTTATCGAATTGTGTTCAAATATTAGCCTTACAATCTATTAAGATGGACGTTCTGAGTTGCACAAGTTGGGAAATTAAATATTTTTTAGTGCTTTTACAAAATATTTTCACCATTTAAAATTTTATTTACGAATTTTTATACAAATGTTGAATATTAAACTTTACAATTATTTTTAAATTGAAGAAGTAAAATGAATGAATTGATAATCGCTATTGTGTACTAAGGTTTTAGTTTAAGATGAGCTGAAAATATGAATTCAAGAGCAATTCAAACTACAGGTATAGAATAAAAAGCAAACAAGTAAGAGGGGTATTTTTGAAAATGCAGTTAAGCTAAAAGCTCTGCATTTAGTTTGTATATGAAACTATAAAAACTTTGCACTTCTAAGCTTAAGAAATGCATTTTCAAAATTTTCAAAACTCAATACTATCATAGATACAGCAAAACATTGCTTTTAATATTAATTAAGTAAATAACTTAAATTCTGTTGACAAAATTCTCCCTCTGCTTTTAATTCTCTCAACCACCTTTTTTATAATTTCTGATGAAAAATGTCTGGCCTCAAAATAGAATTGTCTCTAATTTCAAAACTAAGGATCTCTAAACGTATAATAATTTTTGTAAAGAGATGAACACTTGAAAATTTCTTTAATATTTTTGGTTTTATTCTTTTACAATAACATTGTGAATGCTTATTTTTTGGGTGCACTGTACTTATAAGGGCGCTAGTGAAGGATTCTTTTTGAACGCAAGAAAATATTTCTTTTATATTATAATAAAAAATAAATTTTATTTTTCTTTTTTACTTAAATAAACGTTAAACAAAATATGTAACAACAGTAAATAACATTTACATATAACAATAACGATAAATTTATTAATAACATCCAATAACAATATAAAAATATTCAAAATTTTTAAATACTATTTCAATTTTTGAAGTTAATTCAATAAAAAAGTAAAAACAATATAGAAAAGAATATGTATATGTATAAAACGATAAAAAATCATTATGATTAAGTTTGCATTTTCAGAAAAACATTTTTTCAATATAAAAAAATGGTAAAAAGTCAAACTTAAAAAAAAAAATTAATTATTCTTCAACAAGCGCACTCTCTTCTTCTGCTTGATTACCATTAAGTTGTGGTTCTACATTTTCTTCATTAACAATATTTTGAACTTCTTCTAATTTTTTGGCTGTTATGTCGACTTCTTGTCTAGCAATTTCAGCTAGTTCAGCTGCTTGACTCGCTAAGGCAGCTTCTTCTTCATCTTTAGCATTCTTTTCAAATTCAGCTAAACGACGTAATTCTTCTTCTTTTTGTTTTTGTTCTTCTAACAGTCTTTGTTCTTCAGCAATTCTATCTGCTTCAGCTTTTTCAGGATCAACAGTCTCTTCTTGGCTAGTTTCTTCAGCTGGTTTTGTGTCTTGAGCATCTTCAGTTGCACTAGGAGTTTCATTAGCAACATCTTCGCTTTCAGCAGGAGCTTGTGGTTCTGCTTCAGCAACTGGTTCGGCTTCAGCGGCAGCAGCTTCCGCTTCTGCGGCGGCCTTTGCTTCAGCTTCAGCAATGGCTTTTGCTTCAGCCTCGGCAGCTGCTTGAGCTTCAGCTTCGGCGGCAGCTTTAGCTTGCGCTTCTGCTTCAGCGGCTGCTTTAGCTTCAGCTTCGGCTGCTGCCTTAGCCTCGGCTTCAGCAGCAGCTTTGGCCTCAGCTTCAGCAGCTGCTTTAGCCTCGGCTTCGGCAGCTGCTTTAGCTTCTGCTTCAGCAGCAGCCTTAGCTTCAGCCTCGGCAGCTGCTTTAGCTTGTTCTTCGGCAGCAGCTTTAGCTTCTGCTTCGGCTGCTGCTTTTGCTGCCGCTTCAGCAGCGGCATTTGCTTCAGCTTCAGCGGCAGCTCTAGCTTCAGCTTCAGCTTCAGCGGCGGCTTTTGCTTCGGCAGCTGCCCTAGCTTCTGCTTCTGCTGCAGCTCTAGCCTTAGACTCTGCTTCAGCAGCGAGTTTAGCTTTAGCTTCTGCTGCGGCAGCGGCTTTAGCTTGTGCTTCAGCAGCTGCGATTCTTGCAGCTTCTTCTGCTTGTTTTCTTTGTTTTTCTAATCTAGCTTCATCGTGTCTGAAAAGGAAAATAGAAAATTTGGACATATTCATTTTTGTTTTTATATTATTATTCAGATTGTAATGAAGAAATTACTTAATAGCATTTTAAGTTAAGATAATTATAGACGTGCAGATTTTTAGCAAAAAAAATAATTTCAAATCTAATTTTGTAATTTCGGATCTTGGTGATAGTAGTGTCGCAAGGTACATTAGTAGGGGAACGCCCCAAGGTGGGGTGATTTCGCCACTTTTGTGGCTTGTTGTTATGAACGAGGTTCTACTGCAACTTGAAGAAAGGCGAGTGAAGGCAGTGGCATACGCTGACGACCTAGTAATCCTGGTTTCCGGCTTTGACCTTCCAACAATCAGTGGGGTTTTGGAAGGATCTCTAAATGTGGTGAGCTCTTGGGCTAAAAGATGTGGCCTTGGAGTGAACCCAGCCAAGACGGAACTTGTACTTTTTACGACTAAGACAAAAATCCCGAGCTTTGGACTGCCCCGATTGGGTGGTTTGCGGCTCAGTTTGAGTCCGGCAGTTAAGTATTTGGGAGTCATACTCGACTCTAAACTTAACTGGAAGCTTAACGTGCAAGAGAGGGTGAACAGGGCCTGTACGGCACTTTACACCTGCAAAAAGATGGTCGGCAGGAGGTGGGGGCTGAAACCTAGAATGGTTTTATGGTTATACACGGCCATTGTACGACCTATATTAACTTACGGTTCACTCGTGTGGTGGCCGGCGTTGGGGAAAGCTTACAACTGTACCAAGATCGGTAGGGTACAGAGGGCTGCATGCATAAGCATTACGGGGGCATTGAGATCGACGCCCACGGACGCTATGGATGTACTCCTCCATTTGCTTCCACCAGACATCCATATTAAGAATCTGGCCGCGGCAAGCGCCGTTAGACTCAGAGAAGCTGAGTGCTGGCACGAAAGGCCGTATGGCCACGGCAATGTCCTTCAGTCACTACCGGACGGAGTGGTTGCGGATGCTACAGACTATTGCATCCCTAGACTTGAGCTTGACAAGAAGTTTCGGGTTGAGCTTCCGTCTCGCGGGCAGTGGAAAAGAAATCTTCCACTGCAAGGCTTTGATGTTGCTCTCTTCACTGACGGTTCCAAGGATAGGAATGGGGTCGGTGCTGGAGTATTTTCGGAGACTCAGAACATATCGGAGTCATATCGCCTTCCCAACGGATCGAGCGTGTTCCAGGCGGAAGTATTCGCCATATGGAAGGCATGCGAAATCCTGGGAAGGGATTTGGTTGTGGCCCGGGAGGTCGCAATTGTGACGGATAGTCAGGCTGCGATTCTGGCTCTAAATTCGCCAAAGATATTCTCAAAGTTGGTAGGGCTTTGCTACGATGAGCTGACGAGATTGTGCAGTCATCATAGTATCACCTTACTCTGGGTTCCGGGACATAGGAACATACCAGGAAACGAGCGGGCTGACGAGCTGGCCAGATGTGGGTCGGCATTGGACGGCTCCAGGGCCGAGCGAGTTCTTGTCCCTATAAACACCATCAAAACTGATATATACCGCTTCCAAGTGGCATGTGCGGACCGCAGGTGGAGGGGCCTGAGCACATGTGCAACGGCTAGGAAGACGTGGCCGAAATACGACCATAAGAAATCAATGAGCCTCCTGGCGATGCCTCGACCGGACATAGCTAAGTTAGTGGCTGTGTACACGGGGCATTGGCCTGTGGGGGATCATGCAGCTAGGCTGGGAATTCCCTTTAATACGTCATGCCGCAGTTGTCGGGAGATAGACAAAAAAGAGACGCTTTTTCACTATCTCTGCGAGTGTCCGGCTCTTCAAAGGGCCAGGTTGTTGTCATTTGGGGAAACGGACATAATGGAACTGGGGAACATTTCTAATAAAAGTATCGGGGACGTAAATAGGTTCCTTAAAAGAACGGGGTGGCTCTGATCGCTGGCCCTGGACCAACGTACTTTGACAACCGGGTTTCACGAGGCGGTGGTAGCAAAACGGCACGTCGGTGCTAATTGGGGTGTTGGCCAGTCGGGTCGCACCGGCCACTCTAACCAACCAACCAACCAATTTTGTAATTTGAATTATAAATTACTTTTATGCTAAAATTTTGAAATATAAATTATTATTAATTGAAATTAAATTGAATGCAAGACTTCATGCCTTATTATTATTTTTAATGAATATACACAGCATATACAACGTAAGCACATACGGCTACGCCAGGACGATAAACAGCTATAATTAGAATGTAATAAGCTTTTATATAATGCAAAAAAAGGAAATGTTTTTTTAATTTTATGTAGCGAGCATAATATACATAGACTTTAATTATTTTCAAGCTACTTTACAAGCATTTATCAAAAATTAATTCTGTGGCAATCACAATCGGTCGTTCAAACATCTCTAAGGCCTAATAAATAATGTACTTTATAAAGATATATTGAGCATTACCGCATAAAATAATAATAAAATTTTATTAGTTTTTTGTATATAATAAAACTAATTTACTATGTAAAAATTATTATGTGATTAATTTTATTTAACACTGTACACATGTAGATTAAACACGTAAAATATTTTATGTTAAAAAAATATTATGCTAAAATTTAAAATCGTGTGGGAATAAGCAACGTCAAAAAACAATGTCGCTTTATATTACAAAAAAAAAAAAAAAAAACTGATAAATCTTTCTTTAATGAATAATTATGTATGAGCATTAAAAACAAAATAAAATAATAATAACTTATATCCGAAAAACAAAAATTAGAAAATATTTAAAATATTATACTTTTCAGCAATATTTCAAATAGAAGGAAACATTAAGAACAAACAAACAAACAAACAAGAAAAAAAAAATATATTATAAATTCCGATTATTTGCCAAAAATTTCAATTAAAATTTTGATACGCTACAATAACTTAATTTTCTTATTTTTCATATAGAAAAATTTTTAGTTAATCTTCTATATAGAAAGTATCTATATCAACGTCATATAAAAATTAGAAAAAATACATTTTATTATTTTGTGGTATAAAGTCTAAAATCCAAAGAAAATGAAAAATTCAATAGAATATTTTTGAATACGTTTGAATATTGTATAAGTAGATAGAGTAACTAAGTAGTTTTAATTTAATATTAAAATTTAGCTATACTTATTTATCTTCTATTTCTATATAGAAGAAGCCCATGTAAAATTTAATTTTAAATTTTAAAATTTTTTTATATATTTACATATTACAATACTTTTTGTTTCTCTTGGCGCTTTGGATTTTTAAGTTCAAGGATTTTAGAAAATATTTCACAAGGTATTATAATATATGTACCCATCTATGTATACCCTTACCCTTTAAGAATTGCAATAATTTATCATTGATAATTAAAAATATAATTTATTTATGATATAAAAAAATATTGTTTATTTGTTTGGTATGCACATAAAATTTAGATTTGCTATTTTTATAGAATTATTTGTTTATTTTTTCTTTTTGGGAAAATTGTCAATATTATTTCTGTGGAAAAATTGTCAATTAAATATAATTATAAAATAAAAAATGTAATTTTTAAAAATATTTATAATTAAATTCAAAATAAGACCACAAATGCTGTGAACTTTTTATTATTATCGAATTTGGGTTGCAACAAATTAAAAAATAATAATTTTTGATTATTAAAATATTGATGAATTTTTGTTAGTGGTTAAAATTTTGCAGCAATCTAGGCGCATTGCCAAATATAAGAATATTGTAAAATGCAAGTTAATCAAGGCCTCGCAATTCAAATAATCGATATACAATTTAAATATTTTTGTTTTATTGATCTACTTAATATATTTAATATTTTTTCTTTACAGCTATTCGAATAATTTCTAATATAAAGGCATACAAGTAAGTTTTGAGAAGAAATTCTTTTAATTTTTCTTTTCATACTAAAATATTTGAACAAAATAAATATTGAAATGAATTACGTACATATATATATATATATTTAATATTTTTTAATTTTATTTTTAATTTCTTGCAAATTTTTTAATTATTTGAATATTTTTCAAATTTTTGGTTAAATGACATTCGAGAAATTGAAATGTTTGCACATTTCAAATTTATTATTAATTATTTATATTTGTTTGAATTATGTAGTTTTTTGCTTTGTTATTTAATAATTTAATATTATTTTATATTATACATTTTCCAATTATTTATATAGTTCATGTTATTGCGTCCATCGCAAATCATACATAATTGGTGTATTATTCCAGATTCAATAGAGAAAGCATAAGAAAAATTAAAAAGTGAAAGACTTTTGAATAAAGTTTTCTCTCTCGTTTAAAAACAAATCTCTGTGTTTATTAACGAAATGGTGTGCTTAGCTGATCCAAATCAGATTTTGGATCAAATATGATGACCTATTCTGAGCACAAATTTATTAAAATTTCATGAAGGAAATTACTCATAGCAAAAACTATCATAAATAGAAAAAATTACAGAAATTTCCACCACTATAATTTAAGATTTTTTAATACTGGACTTAATAAAACTGTGTTTTAATCAGAAGCTCAAACAAAATTAAATCCAAAATTATTTCAAATCAATTTTGCTAAGACAATATTATAGAGTAAATTTCATTAAAATTTTTTAAATTATCAAATATCGAATCTTACATTTTTAAAATTATTAATAATTGGAATCTTTTTTTGTATATTTGCAATTAAAACTAAATTAAATTTAAGTATGTTCTTTATTGAGATTACACTGAGAATTATACTGAGAAAAATTTGAAGTAAATTTGATATTTTTTTAAACAGAACCGACGTAAACTATATTCGAAATCACGACAACCATAATTTATGGCTAATTTTCACACAAATGTATTTCGTATTCCCTAATTTTTTTTATTTTGAATATAATTTAAATAAAAAAAAATCTGTTTTAGAAAATATATTGTTTTTAAATTAATTCTTTTTTTGAGTCATTTATGAAAACAAAATAATTGAGTTAGAATGAAAAAAAATTCTGAA